TCATAAAAACAGCAGCTCGTTGCTGTATTCTTTGGTCATGGTTTTAAAAGTGATAAAATCTTACGCAGGCTAGTATTAAACTATGCTGTGGCCAGGGTCGTGGAAGCGCTGTAGGCACGGTGATTGGAGCTATCCGATTGGCCAGCGCAGTAGGCGCACTCGATTTAGCCACATGATCGACCGGTTGGTGACCACTGCTTTAGACCATACTATTTACCAGGAGAGTTTCCAGCTATATTTTACGTAGCTGTGTACTTACCACCACAAATTGATGCTGGCACTAAGACCGCACTCAACGAGCTGTATAGGGCCATAAGCAAACAAGAAAATGCTCACACAGAGGCGGCGCTCCTAGTGGCCGGTGATTTTAACGCAGGAAAACCATCTTACCTAATTTCTACCAGCATTTCACCTGTGCAACTAGAGGTGGAAAAATTCTAGATCATCTTTACTCCACACACAGAGACACAAAGCTCTCCCTTGCTCTCCATTTGGCAAATCTGACCATAATTCTATCCTCCTGATTACTGCTTACAAGCAAAAACTCAAACAGCAAGTACCAGTGGCACGCTCAATACGGAAGTGGTCCAATGAAGCGGACGCTAAGGTACAGGACTGTTTCGCTAGCACAGACTGGAATATGTTCCGGGATTCATCCGATGGCATTGAGGAGTTTACCACATCAGTCACCGGCTTCATTAATAAGTGCATCGAAGATGTCATCCCCACAGTGACCGTACGTACATATCCCAACCAGATGCCATGGATTACAGGCAACATCCACACTGAGTTTAAGGCTAGAGCTGCTGCTTTCAAGGAGCGGGACACTAATCCATACGCTTATAAGAAATCACGCTACGTCCTCCGATTAACAATCAAGCAGGCAAAGCATCAATACAGGACTAAGATCGAATTCTACTACACCGGCTCTGACGCTCGTTGGATGTGGCAGGGCTTGAAAACTATCATGGATTACAAAGGGAAACCCAGCTGCGAGCTTCCCAGTGACGCAAGCCTACCAGATGAGCTAAATGCCTTCTATGCTCGCTTCGAGGCTAGCAACACTGAACCATGTATGAGAGCACCAGCTGTTCCATAGTCGATGTGAGTAAGACCTTTAAACAGGTTAACATTCACCAGGCCGCAGGGCCGGGCGGATTACCAGGACGTGTACTCAGAGCATACGCTGACCAGCTGGCAAGTGTCTTCACTGACATTTTCAACATCTCCCTAACATAGTCTGTAACACCTACATGTTTCAAGCAGACCACTATAGTCCCTGTGCCCAAGAACGCCAAGGCAATCTGTAGACATGAAATGCTTTGAAAGGCTGGTCATAGCTCACATCAACACCATAATCCCAGACACCCTGGACCCACTCCAATTGGCATACCGCCCCAACAGATCCACAGATTACGCAATCTCTATTGCACTCCACACTGCCCTTTCCCACCTGGACAAAAGGAACACATACATGAGAATGCTGTTCATTGACTACAGCTCAACACCATAGTGCCCTCCAAGCTCATCACTAAGCTAAAGACCCTGGGATTGAACACCTCCCTCTGCAACTGGATCCAGGACACCCTGACGGGCTGCCCCCAGGTGGTGAGGGTAGGCAACAACACATCCGCCACGCTGACCCTCAACACAGGGGCCCCTCAGGGGTTCACCCACGACGCACAACTCCAACACCATGGCCTGATCACCAATGACAATACAGACTATGGGGAGGAGGTCAGAGACCTGGCAGTGTTGTGCCAGGAAAACAACCTCTCCCTCAATGTAAGACAGTAAGACAAAGGAGCTGATCGTGTACTACAGGAAACAGAGGGCCGAGCACACCCACATTCACATCGACGGGGCTGTAGTGGAGTGGAAGTGTCCACATCACTAAGGACCTATCATGGTCCAACACACCAACACAGTCGTGAAGAGGGCACGACAATGCCTCTTCCCCCTCAGAAGGCTGAAAACATTTGGCATGGGTCTTCAGATCCTCAAAAAGTTATACAGCTGCACCATCGAGAGCATCCTAACTGGCTGCATCACCACTTTCACACTCTTCACATACGCTGCTGCTACTCTGTTTATTATCTATCCTGATTGCCTAGTCACTTTTACTCCTACCTATATGTACATATTACCTCAATTACCTCAACTACCTCGCACATTGACTCGGTACCGGTACTCCTTTTATATAGCCTCGTTATTGTTATTTTACTATTTCCTTATGGATTTTTTGTAAAGTTTTCTTTGTTGGGAAAGGGCTCGTAAGTAAGCATTTCAGGGTAAAGTCTTCACCTATTGTATTCGGCGCATGTGACAAATATATTTTGATTTGATTTGACACTAACAGAGTTGGTAGGACCTGGAGACAGTCCCATGGACTATCAGTTGTCATGGCTGCATCACCTTAACATGCCGGTAATAATAATAATACATTTTATTTTAAGCGCTTTTCACGACACCCAAAGTCAGTTTACATACACAAGAAATCAGCAGTATATAAAAAGCGATAAAATCACATATTAAATAAGTAAGTATATAAATGACACTAAACATAAGTACAGACTAACCATGGAGAACACTAAACATGATGACAGACTAACCATGGAGAACACTAAACATGATGACAGACTAACCATGGAGAACACTGAACATGATGACAGACTAACCATGGAGAACACTAAACATGATGACAGACTAACCAGGGACGTGTACTAAACATGATGACAGACTAACCAGGGACGTGTACTAAACATGATGACAGACTAACCATGGAGAACACTAAACATGATGACAGACTAACCAGGGACGTGTACTAAACATGATGACACACTAACCAGGGACGTGTACTAGACAGAGGATAAAAGCTAAGCCTGTGTGAAGAGGTGTGTCTTTAGTGTGGACTTCAATATGTGTATGGATTGTGAGGTTCTGACATGGAGAGCGAGGGAGTTCCAGAGTTGAAGAGCTGCACTGCTAAAAGCATGGTCTCCCATGGCGCTTAGACTGGTGCGAGGGATGGTGAGGAGGCCAGTGTCAGAGGTTCGCAGTGAACAGGTGGGAGTGTAGGGGTGCAGGTGGTCAGTAAGGTATGTGGCGCCAGTCCATTGAGTGCTTTGTAGGTGAGAATGAGCAAATTATCCTATATTGAACTGGGAGCCAGTGGAGTTTGATGAGGGTGGAGGTGATATGGTCCCAAAGTCTGGTGTGTGTGAGGACACATGCAGCTGAATTTTGAATATGTTGAAGTCTGTCTAGTGTTTTGGCGGGGAGTCCGTAGAGAATGGCGTTGCAGTAGTCCAGGCGTGATAAAACAAAGGCGTGAATGAGGGTTTCAGCAGTTGGGTCAGTGAGAGAGTGTCTGAGTCATGAGATGTTTTTTGAGGTGGAAGAAGGCTGACTTGGTGATGTTCCGGATTTGGGGTTCAAATGACAGAGTTGGGTCAAATGTAACACCAAGACTGTGAATTTGGAGTGGATGGTGCAGCCGTTGATTGTCAAGTTGCATTGACCCAGTTTCTTGATGAGGGAGTTAGGACCCATGAGCGTGATCTCTGTTTTGTCGTCGTTTAGTTTGAAAAAGTTATTGCTCATCTCTTATTTTCACTTCACAGGGACAGTCAACATCAGAGGGGGGTGGCAGAGTGGAGTTGGGTTTTGTGTGGATGTAGATTTGTGTGTGATCTGCATAACAGTGAAATCTTAGTCCAAATTGACGGAGGATCTGACCAAGGAGTAGCATGTAAATACTAAACAGTAATGGACCTAACACTGAGACCTGTGGGACACCTTGTGATACAGGGGCTGGGGCAGACCTGCAGTTGCCAAGGAAGAAAAACTGTTGTCTATCAGATAGATAAGAGTGGGACCAGGCAAGGGTTGTTCCGGAAACTCCAAGAAGCCTCTCCATGCGATCAGTTAAAATCTGATGACAGACAGTGTCAAATGCTGCAGACAGGTCCAGGAGGATGAGGATGGAGATGTTCCCAGCATCAGCATCACAGAGGAGGTAATTCCCTATCTTTACCAAGGCAGTTTCAGTGCTATGCATAGCTCGGAAGCCCGACTGAAGGGTGAGACTGTTGCAGCTGTTGGTAGCTGTACACTTTGTTTTGAAAGGATGCCAGAAAACTGTCACAGAGGTCGGTGGTGATTGTAAGAGAGGGGTTGTCCAATGGGTGGTGAAGTCTGTTGATGGTTGAGAAGAACACTCCTGGGTTTCCTTGTTCATTCCTTATGATGTTGGCGAAATAAGCAGATTTGGTTGTGGCAAGTTAGTCCTTGTAGTTGTGTATGTGGTCTTTGTAAGCCTCCTTATGGATAATGAGCCCTGTAGTACTGTTAGAATCACAGGAAAAGCAAGGCTTTACTATAGAATTACTATTTATATACTATAATATGCTATACTATACTGTGCTATACTATTACTATTACTATATGATTACAATTGTATTTCTATGGTTGGAACAGTGTCACCATCTTCCATCCCTATGGCCTATGGCTTTGAGGGAAACCACATACTGTAGCCATGTGTTCATTGAGTTGGTAGAATGTGTTGGAATTACAGTGAGAAAAATGGGCATGTTAAAAAAAGAAACAAAAGGAGAAACAGTGAAGAGTGGGTTTTTTAGTGGACGGCAGGGCAGTGTTCCGTGTGAAGCAATAACATATCATTACAGAAAGCCCCGGGTTTATCCCACCCAGAGAACATATCAATCTGAATCAACAGCCTGGATTCAATCAAACTGTCGTGAGATTCAACCTCAACTTTTTGTGAAAAATTCTAGGAATACCTCGCGCCCATACCAAGCTCTTTTCAGATCATTAGTGTGTGGTTACATGAGTTTACAGAAATGTCTGGGAAATAAAAAGAGTGTCATAGATGAGGTTAAGCAAAATCACCTCTCAGAAGAGATGAACAGATGAGATTAGAGGGAGGATAAAAAGAGAAGAGAGAATAAGAGAGAAAAGAAAAGAGATGTCAGAATTACCTTTCCCGTCTCCCGTTCAAAGTCCACATACTCTCGTGTGGGCGTCTGCCTCTGCTCCCCGTGCAAGTTGGCTGGGAAGAACTGCAGCGAGAGGTTGGTGCCCGTCGCCACAAAAGCCTTTTAGAGGGAAATCAATACAAACAGGATCAGAAGACTGGGCCCGAGCATAAATTATGCAGCCCGTCATTTCTTTTTCACATCAGCGGGACGAGTGTCTGGAGCCAGTGCTCCCAACACTCAGAGAAAGAAGGGAAAATACACAAGAGTCATCATTTTCTCTATTTGAAGTATAGAGTTACGCACATCTGATTCTATTTTACCACCACTCACTATTGGAATACTGGGCAATAAAGAACTGACTTTAGAAAAGACAGAGAGCCTGAATGAAAGGGAGATGGCGTGAGTCAGTGATAGGAGGAATACAGTAAGAAAGACAGGGAAGGAAAATCAGTAAGACTTTAAAAGCAGACCCTGCCTGATACTAATGACGCAGGGTCTAGATGATTTATTTTGAATTATGTTCCCTGTGCTTGGTTTATGTAATTGACCAGCTCATAGGTAAAGATTTTAAACAACTGAGCTCCAAACATGGACACAATGTTTTCTGTTGTTTTCACAGCATTACTTCAAACAGAATAAAGGAAAAAACAACACGGGCAGAATACACAAAACACATACTAACACACCAAAAAATTGTATTACCATGTAATTACTAAGGCTATATGAGCATAGCGCATATTCAGCCTTATTTAATCAACAAAGTCTATTTGCATTTATTTAATTTCTAACATTTTAGGTATGATGATGATCATTTCAAATGGCTTTCTCAGTCAGAATAATTGCATTTTGAAATAGACACACTTGGGTGAATGGTAGGGTTAAGACAGACCCTTACAGAGCAAACAGTGACAGTAACAAATCAAACAACCGCCATAAAGCATCAAAATACTTTCATCACAAAAAAATAACTAATTAGAAGTAGGCCTAGTCACAATGTTATTATTGTGAATATCTTTTTGAATCTTTTTGTCTGAAAATGGAAGTGAATACACTGCAATGTCACTTTATTGTTTCATGGCATGAAGAAAAATCCTTGATTTGAATTAGCTTACCAAAACTATATAAAAAATCTGACTCAAAAAGAGTGAAATGTTAGGCTACTCTAAGAATATAAGTATTAGGGCTCCATAAAATAAATAATACATTTGACTTTATTACAGCACATACAGTAGTACACTCTTAGAATGAATGGGGACTCGAGTAAACCTGGAGATGGTTCATATTTGCACCTTTGGTTAGTTGAGGGGTTTCTTGGAAGAACCTTTAATGTTTCAATGCAGCAATGGGTAATATTTTGATAGGCTGCCACCTCTACAATTAAAAGGTTCAAAATTGAAGCCCTCCCATCACAAAAAGGTTCCGGTTTGAACATTTACACAGATCCTTTTCAGAGGGGTTCCTCAAGGAACCTTTTTGAACTGGAAAGCTTCCCCCTGTGTGGCATTTTTTAGAACCCCAAAAGGTTCTTCCAGGGCCAGGGTCCTTTACTTAAGAGTGTAGCCTACGTGAAAATATCGTGATGACCGAAAAAGGAGTGAGCAGAGGGACCATTTTATGTAGCCACTGTCGGCCCCGCCAGACCAGCTCTGCCCTGACTTCAGTCATTGTCAATTCCAATGTCGGGTTTCTCTCCTCAAAAGCCTATTGAGACAGAGGCAGACCTTTATAGCCATGTCTGTCAGACACCTGATACACAGGATTATGACAGTTCTGGATAGTGAACTAATCATATTATAGTGTTATGACATTTTTGTGAAATAATGTTATGAGGATGTTTTTTGTGTTGTTTGCCAGAGAATAAAGGATGAAGTAATGTTTTGGCTGAGGTAAAATGTCTAGTTCCGTTCCAGGTGTCTATTTATGCAAAATATTGATATAAACTTAAGGTTAGTGTAATGAGGTCTGATTATAGTCTTATTATCTCAGTTGTATGCTGAACAGAAATGTTTTACTCACTATTTCTGAGCGACCATCCCTACAAGCGTTCTGAAACCTGGCTTGCCTCTCCTCGTGCGGTCTGTCTCGGAAACCTGTGTATTTTATCTGAAAATATGAAGGAAAAAATGCATCAATAAATGTAATCTCAGAAAAAATAAATACATAACCTAAGTAACATAAATATACTTTACTGTGAAGGCATTAATCATGGCTCATTTTATGGCTCAGATGATAATCTAAATTGGAGTCATCTTTATTTTTTATAAAGTCTTACAATTCCGAGGTATCAGATACAATTATTTCAAATTAATCTCCATTTAGCCTATTGAAATGATGAAATATGGGAAATAAATGTACATTAGCCATGAGGCAAAGTCACCGTCAATGGCAGAGCTTCGCGCAGTGAGGTGATGAGCGACTCAGATTAGTTGATGGATTTAAAACAAATCAAAACTAAAAATATTTTAATAACTCTCCTTCCTCTTTTTTGAAAAGTGTAGGCTTATTTAGACAGTACAATATGAAATAACGTATCAGATAAATTCAACAGTGCTTCATATCTATAATGGAAACCATATCCATCTTTCAGTAAGAAAGTAATAAGAAGGCTATAGTGCTGTCTCTTTCAGCGCAACGTGCATTTCCACTTTATGAGGTACTTTGTTTCCGCCACCAAATAAAACGTGTCCAATGAGTAGACTTGCCTCGCACTCCCGACTGAGTTTCCTGAAGAACTCTTCGTTTTCAAACTTGCTCCTTTGATCCGGGACCACCCGAGGCATCTTGAAGCTTTGCTGAGAAATGTTCCTTGATTTTAATTGTTTTGTGAGCAAGAAAAACCTTTGCCGTGAAATAACAGCAATCCCGCTTCTATTCTCTTCCGTCTAGTTTTGATAGTGGGTAGCAATGTGCTAATGTGATATTTACCTTATTTTGTAAGTAGGGTCGTGATCTCTCCCCGCTCTCAAATCTAAACTACTGACCGGTCAGTCTCTGCCACTGCAATGGATTAGGCTCAATTTCGCACTTGGCTATAATTCCCTCTCACCCTGAAGCGTGTGATCCCCGTCCACTGACAACAAACGCCCGCTCTCTCGACTTTATCTGTCGCGCTGCATACTTCCTGGCTCCTCGGAGTCCGACTTATGACTGTATACCCAAAATACTCCCCCATTCACAATTCTCCTCACTACTTATCCCAAGCGCGCAGGCGCTGAACTCAACAAAACTTCAGAGCACAAGAAAGAGCTTTCCTATGTATATGTCCATGTCTCATGTTTCTTAGCCCGGAGACAGACAAAACAAATCTTTCTTCATACATTATTTGGATCAGTATGCCTACCTCATGAAGACATTTTTTCCATAGGCATAAGACTTCTGGAAAAAGACAAGGCTTCTGAAACTCTACAATTATACAAGGCAAATATTTTGATCTCTGGGAGGCACATTAAGAAGAGGCATATGAGAGTACCCTAATGTTGTAGAACATTTGAATTCCTGGAAAATAGTTGCAAACTGTCCCCATCTCTTTCCTCTCCTTATATCAATCAAGGCCAAGGGCAATAGTGCCACTTGTTGATAATTGGGAATGTTGAGGCACTTTGTGATCTGCACCCCCTCTCTCCTCTCTCTATCTCTCTCTCTGATTGCAGGAAAAGCAGCCAACAAGTGCTCAGCATATGTGGGAACTCCTTCAAGACTGTTGGAAAAGCATTACAGGTGAAGCTGCTTGAGAGAATGCCAAGAGTATGCAAAGCTGTCATCAAGGCAAAGGGTGGCTATTTGAATAATCTTTCTACAATGTAGAAAATAGTAAAAATAAAGAAAAACCCCTGAATGAGTAGGTGTGTCCAAACTTTTGACTGGTACTGTACACCTACTCATTCAAAAGTTTTTCTTTATTTTTTACTATTTTCTACATTGTAGAATAATAGTGAAGACATCAAAACTATGAAATAACACATATGGAATCATGTAGTAACCCAAAAAGGGTTAAACAAATTCTTCAAATAGCCACCCTTTGCCTTGATGACAGCTTTGCACACTCTTGGCATTCTCTCAAGCAGCTTCACCTGGAATACTTTTCCAACAGTCTTGAAGGAGTTTCCACATATGCTGAGCACTTGTTGGCTGCTTTTCCTTCACTCTGCTGTCCAACTCATCCCAAACCATCTCAATTGGGTTGAGGTCGGGGGATTGTGGAGGCCAGGTCATCTGATGCAGCACTCAATCACTCTCCTTCTTGGTAAAATAGCCCTTACACAGCCTGGAGGTGTGTTGGGTCATTGTCCTGTTAAAAAACCAATGATAGTCACACTAAGCTCAAACCAGATGGGATGGCGTATCACTGCAGAATGCTGTGGTAGACATGCTGGTTAAGTGTGCCTTGAATTGTAAATAAATCACAGACAGTGTCAACAGCAAAGCACCCTCACACCATAACACCTCTTCCCCATGCTTTACGGTGGGAACTGCACATGCGGAGATCATCCGTTCACCCACACTGCATCTCACAAAGACACAAAGACACAAAGACTCCAGACCAAAGGACACATTTCCACCGGTCTAATGTCCATTGCTCGTGTTTCTAGGCCCAAGCACGTCTCTTCTTCTTATTGGTGTCCTTTAGTAGTAGTTTCTTTGCAGGAATTCGACCATGAAGGCCTGATTCACACAGTCCGCTCTGAACAGTTGATGTTGAGATGTGTCTATGACTTGAACTCTGTGAAGCATTCATTTGGGCTGCAATTTCTGAGGCTGGTAACGCTAATGAATTTATCCTCTGCAGCAGAGGTAACTCTGGGTCTTCCATTCCTGTGGCGGTCCTCATGAGAGCCAGTTTCATCATAGCGCTTGATGGTTTCTGCGACTGCATTTGAAGAAACTTTCAAAGTTCTTGCAATTTTTCTGTATTGACTGACCTTCATGTCTTAAAGTGATGATGGACTGTCGTTTCTCTTTGCGTATTTGAGCTGTTCTTTCCATAATATGGACTTGGTCTTTTACCAAATAGGGCTATGTTCTGTCACAACACAACTGATTGGCTCAAACACATTAAGAAGGAAATAAATTCCACAAATTAACTTTTAAGAAGGCACACCTGTTAATTGAAATGCATTCCAGGTGACTACCTCATGAAGCTGGTTGAGAGAATGCCAAGAGTGTGCAAAGCCGTCATCAAGGCAAAGGGTGGCTACTTTGAAGAATCTCAAATATAACATATATTTTGATTTGTTTAACACTTTTTTAGTTACTACATGATTGCAAATGTGTTATTTCATAGTTTTGATGTCTTCACTATTATTCTACAATGTAGAAAATAGTAAAAACAAAGAAAAACCATAGAATGAGTAGGTGTGTCTGTATATATATATAAAAAGCCTATATATATCAATTATATAGTGGTTAGCCTATTTGTCATTCACTTTGCAGTATGAAAACACCATAGATAGGCCTAAAAGTGATGTCTATCTGATAGTTCTACTGGAACTATTATACTATTTCATTTTTTAAAGTGCTGCAGTGTCTGCCATGATGGCAGATTGAGTTGGTGTGAATAGTAGTAGCCTACTGTATGTTCAATGAGTTCTGCTGCCTCCTAAGTATTGGCCCAGTTTTTGGGTCATATTCTACTTGATGAAACTGCTGTTGTCATGCCTGACTGGGGATGCAGGCAGGACAAGCTGGTAGACAGAGGGTGGGAAATGAAGCGAACATCTGAATATAGTGGCTGCCTTGGCCGGCATCACAAGTTATTAACCCGAGCATATCGAGCTACGTCAGAGGCTGAGAATCACGCGGTCTCAGCGCCGAGGATGATTAATGATGTTACCGAATCTCCTCGGCTTCCCTGCCTCTCACGCATCCGCCGGCCGCGCATAAACAGACCGGGACAGAACAGTCGCACAACTGCAGCTGGAGCCGTGCAGCAAGTGGCGCCCTCTGAAACGCTGCAGGGTGCGTTGCAACGTGGTCTCAGGGCAATTCGTATTATCTTGTGTAAATCTGTCTCATGCTTTTAGTATGATAGCTATGTTACATTACATTATGAATGGTACAGCTGTTGTGCAATATCATACGAATTAGAGGATGTATAGTATCATACGTCTTAACTGGTTGTACAATAGCATACCAATTGGATGACTTAAGTTATTATATGTCTTGGAGGGTGTATAGTAGTATACAGAGCCATATACAGTGCCTTCAGAAAGTATTCACACCCCTTGACTGAATTTAAAATGGATTAAATTGAGATTTTCTGGGTCACTGGCCTTCACACAATTCCCCATAATGTCAAAGTGGAAATTATATTTTTTTGATTTTTTTTTTACAAATTCATAAAAAATGTAAAGCTGAAATGTCTTGAGTCAATAAGTATTTAACCCCTCTGTTATGGCAAGCCTAAGTAAGCTCTGGAGTAAAAATGTGCATAACAACTCACATAATAAGTTGCATGGAGTCACTCTGTGTGCAATAATAGTGTTTAACATGGTTTTTGAATGACTACCTCATCTCTGTACCCCACACATATGATTATTTGTAAGGTCCCTCAGTCGAGCAGTGAATTTCAAACACAAATGCAACCACAAAGACCAGGGAGGTTTTCAAATGCCTCGCAAAGAAGGGTGCCGATTGGTAGATGGGTAAAAAAACAAAACAGACATTGAATATCCCTTTCAGCATGGTGAAGTTATTAATTACACTTTGGATGATGTATCACTATACCCAGTCACCACAAAGATATAGACGTCCTTCCTAACTCAGTTGCTAGAGAGGAAGGAAACCGGTCAGCGATTTCACCATGAGGCCAAGTAAAAAGGCCAAGTCTGCATGAAAAGCTATGTAAATACCTGAAAATGGTTATCTAGCAATGATCAACAACCGATTTGACAGCTTGAAGAATTTTGAAAAGAATAATGGGCAAATGTTGCACAATCCAGGTGTGGAAAGCTCTTAGAGACTTACCCAGAAAGACTCACAGCTGTAGTCGCTGCCAAATGTGATTCTAACATGTATTGAATACTTATCTGTTTTTATTTCTTATTTTTTTATTTTTACAAATGTTAGAATTTTTCTTCCACTTTGACATTACAGAGAATTTTGTGTAAATCGTTGACAAAAAATTACGATTAATTCAATTTTAATCCCACTTTGTAAGAGAACAAATTGTGGAAAAAGTCAAGGGGTGTGAATACTTTCTGAAGGCATTGTATTTGGCTCTGGTAGTATACATCTTTCTCTGAGACCAGGTTGCTCGTTGAGTCAACAACAAAGGAGAATTATGTGGATAATTTACATGAAAGGTTAAGGGAACTAAAATGATAAAGGTTAGTTGAATTTAGGTAGCAGGTTTGGTGAATTGGGTTAAGTTTAGAATAAGGGTTAGGGGAATGGTTAGCTAAAATGCCCACCCCATCCTACCTGACCAACCTCCCTTCTTTCGTTTCGGTCTAAAGTAACTAGACCATTAGTATGTATCATACATCTTGGAGATGCTCAGAAAATAAATAAAGTATGTTTCGTATTGGCTCTGAGGCCAGGCTGCTGAAACAGAAGGCAAGGGGTGTCTGGAGGTCAGACGGCTAGACTGGACGGTTTTGGAGAGGCGCGTGGTGGCTAGTTGTCTGTATGACAGTCAGACAGGGGGCTCTCCTCGTGAGAGCAAAAAATAACATCACACACTGACACACATATAGATTGGACTCCATGACTTTGGGCGGGAAATCTTTCATGACAGGACAGGAGACAGACTTGTAGACTATGGTGAAAAATGTAGGCTAGA